AAATTAAGATTCTAGAGCCGTTAGAAGCTTTTCTAATATAATAAAAAAAAATCGATATGCTTTCTGAGGTCGGAGAAACCATACAGAATTAAAAAATATAATATCGAAAATTAAGATTCTAGAACCGTTAGAAGCTTTTCTAATATAATAAAAAAAATGATATTGTTTTTAACGTTCTGTGACCCACTTAGAATTAAGAAATATAATATCGAAATTAAGATTCTAGAGCAGATAGAAGCTTTTCTAATATAATAAAAAAAACGATATTGTTTTTAACGTTCTGTAGCCCACACACACAATATTTCAGTAAAGGGTCAGACATTCTGTCCTCAAACCCCCACTTTCATATTATGTAGTATACTCATAATTTTTTTAGATGATCATAATACTCTAAGAAAATAATCTTTAACTAATAGAAATTATCTATTAACTTTTTAATTTTTTCTTTAAATTTTTTGGTAAATTCTATCCAATATGATATATATAAAGTGTATAATAACTATTTGAAAATTAAATAAGTATAACTGAATCTATATCAGTAAAAAATATTAAAGTTATTTTTCAGCATTTGTAACATATATTATAATATTTATTGGTAAGTTTAAATGTTTCATTACTAATAATTACTTATACAAGTTATTTTATCTGTCTGTTATTATCTATATTAATAAATATATTTAAAATCATATTATACAAATTTATTTTTATTATATTATTATTAATAATAATATTATAATATTTAATTTAAAGTATAATTTGTTCAGAAATCATCTAAAAGAGACAAATTAGACAATTATCATTATCAAATTCAAATTTAATAAAAATTAAGGATCCTTTAACTTTTTTAAATAAGACTATTAAGAAAATTAAATGTATTATTATAGTACTGCGATTAAGAGATTTGAATTTTTGTATAATATTTGATAAGTTTGAATCCAAGTAATTTATTTTTGAAAAATCTTCCTTTTAAAAGATTATATTGAATAGTAATTGAAAGATTACTGTATTTAGTCATTATTTTAATTCATCTATCATTTCTTTTAAAAAATCTCTATATTTACTACTAAATTCAAAAGTATCTGGACTTAATTTATGATTATGTTTATTTATAAACAAACTAATAGATATATTAAAAGAATATTTTGAAAAAGTTAAATTTATATGCTAGAAATACTGACATTTTTTTGTTTTAGTATTTTGCTATTTTCCAGCTTATAAAACAGTTTCAGATTTTTGGATTTAAATTTACTATCAAATTCATACATAAATTTTTTTTTTTGTAATGAATTGTGTAGACATATTTTTTCTATTTGATATTTAGTTATTATAAATCTATTACATTGTTTATAGTTATTAAGAAAATTTTTAACTTCTTTTTAAAAAGAAAAAGTTGTATTAAAACTAATATCTTCATTAGCAATATTTATTTGTATTTTGTTAGTATCTAGTTGATCTTGAAAAGTATTAGAAATCATATTCTCATTTTCTTCATTTTCTTCAATAATCATAAGGTATTAGTGATTTTAAAAATTTTATTAGAATCATCTTCAGACATAAAAAATAAGGTATAATATTCTAAGAGTAAATTGAATACTTTAAAAGAAGGATGTTTTATATAAATAAAAAAAGGTTTATATGAAAAATATGAAAAGAAAACATTTTATGTAAAAAAAAAGCAAAAGAAAGAAAATGTTTTGTAAGGATACAAATCAGTAAAATATGTAATTTATATTTAATATTATGTAATTACATAAGTAAATTTATTAATCATTGCATAAATAATAATTTTTTAATAGAATGATACATGAAAATTTAACATAAACAATTTAAAGCAATATATAAGACTATTACATCTCACGATTTTTACATTTTTTCTTAAAATAATATTAAAATTTATCAATTAATTAAACTACTTTTTATTTATTAATATCTTTTAAATAAGATCCATTTATATTGTTATTTATTATAAAAAATCATATAAATAATCTAAAATAACTTATAATATTTTGATAATAAAATATCACAATCAAAGATATATAAACTTTATTATTTATTTATATATATACTTAAAATAACATATTAAAAATATTAAAAATTCAGCTTAGTTTAATATGATTTAGTAATTTATAATTTAATTTTGCTATGCATATTAATAACAAAAAGATTTAGCTTAAATGAACTGACCAATCATTTAATAATTTTTTTTTACGTTGAAAATGCAAATGAAAATTGACGGATAACATAAACCTTTTTTTTTTTTTACATTCTTCCAAGTTGATTCGTAAAAAAGGAAAATGAGTCATTGTAGGGACGAACACAGCCATTCTCAAGACGGTCATGGACATCATGATCACGATCACGATCACGATCACGACGGACCAGATCGTGGAACCGAAGATTCACTTTACTCACGTATAGATCGTGATAACGTTCGTTGTTTAAATGAAAAAGAACCCAATTCAGGAAAAAATGTCATAAAACCTTGGAACGAAAGAGATGATACCAGTAAAGTACGTTACCCTCATATATATATATTTCACTTGACGTATTATTTACCATATGTATTTAGTATGTAGAAAGTGATGTCGATGAACAACTAATTTTATTTATTCCGTAAGTAATTCATTTATGATACCACATAATTTTACTATACTTTTATTTGATCTTCAATTTCTTCTCCATTAAATTTAGATTTACTGGCAGCGTTAAATTAAAGTCGATTTCGATCAAATCAGGGTCGGGAAATAGTTGTCCATCAATATTAAAAGCGTAAGTTGACAATCTTTAAAAAAGATTTCATTTTTATAAATGAGTTAATAAAATAATTAAGATTGAAACTTATTAAGTTATATCAATCGAGAGGATGTTGATTTTGATACAGTGGAAGGATATACGGCAACTCAAGAGTGGGAATTAGTTCAATCACCGGATGTCGTAGAATATCCAACAAGGTATTTTGCAAGTTTGATTTTTTTAAATTTATTTCGATTAAATTATTTATTTATTATTATTTTTATTATTATTATTTTTATTTAGAATGACAAAAATGTACAATGTGAGGAATTTGACGCTTTTTTTTCCAGAAAACTTTGGAGATGAAGTAACTAGAGTTTATTATATTGGACTCAAAGGAGAATGGACTGAGGTGAGTGAATTTGAGTGTAACTACTATTTCAAGAGTTTGTATTCTTTGATAGATCACAATTTAAAAGTTAAAAAAAGTAATAAAAATAAGCTATTAAAAGAGTCGGATCAAAATTTTTTCTAATTATAAAGTTTGACTACATAGATCAAGAAGGATCATATTGTAACTCTTTATGAGGCTACTCCTAATCCTGCTGATCACAAAAACCCTGCCGGTGAAAACAAATCTCATCATGCTATAGATTAAAAGTATATTTTAAATTCAAAAATATTATTATCAAACTTAACCTTAATTAAAAACTTTACGAAATAAGCAAACCGAAACTGAAAAAAAAAAAAAAAATTTTTTTTTTTTCTTTATTTTTTATTAATTAAAGATATTATATATTACATTCATAGAAAAAATGTTAATAACCTGTCAGCTTCTAATTTCTTTGCTGGTATAATGCTTAGCTGTTACTATTATATTGCTACAAGAAAAAAATGAAACATTACAAAAATTTCCAGACGTACAAAAAAAGGGTGGCAACATACGAAAGATAACAAACCAAAAAATAAAATAAAATAAAAATACCAAAAAAGAAAAGGAAAAAAAAAAAAAGATAAAAAAAGGAAAAAACAAAAACAATAAAAATACCTTACGTACCTCTTCTTGGTGGTGGTACATATAGGTTTTTCTCATTGTTCTTATTTCGCGCAATTTTTGCAATTCGTCCATAACCACCATCACCGTTACTCCTGTTGTTGCCACCATTTCCACCGACTCTCTTATTAGCTTGACCGGTACGAGGATTGTTTGTTACTTGAAATACCGAAATTTTTTGACGAGCTCGAGGTTCCTTTGTAGTAATAGGAGTATTTGCTGATATTTGTGCCGGCTTTTGTTTTTTATTTGGAGTTGATGGTGAACTAATATTTGGGCGTTTGTTACCCACTGTTGTTGAAGGCGTCGACGACGTTGAAGACGATGTCGTGGATTGTGGTGATATCGATTGTGGTGGTGCACGCCAGGAAATGACAACTTTTGTGAAATGTCGTGCCACCGCAGGTTTAATTAATTCCTAATCAAGTCGAAAATTAGGTATGATTAATTTCATTAAAATGTGGATATAAAAGTAAAATGCAATAGTGCAATCAAAACTTACCTTCGTCATTGTAAAAATATTGTGAGTCACGGTTTGGACGTTCTCTGCCCTTTTAATTTTCTAATAAAAAAAAAAAAGGAAAAATTAATATGAATTGTAAAAATACAAGAATTATAAAGTAATACATACTTCTATCGTTTGTTGGTCTTTAGTTTGGGTTTTTTGTAAATCTTTTAAACTTTGTTTTACACGCGTTTGGCATTTCATGGCAAAAGTATATAGGTGGCGTAACCTAAATATATGTCAAAATTCATTTAAATCATCAATAAATCATTTGATTTAATGAAAAACAATTATAAATGATGGATAACGAACCGACAATTCACTTCTTGACCTTCAGTAATTGTCGGAACCTTGAAGGCAATAGTATAAATCGTATAAACAATGTTTTCTACTTTAATTAAATCTATTTTTGGATCCTCATCAATATTATCTGAAGGAGGTTCCGGAACTTCATTCTAGATGAAAATAAAAAATTATCAATTTAAATGTCTGTGAATGTTAAAAGATTGACATATGATGTGAAAAGTACCACAAATATAACTTTTAACAATGGCGCCGCTTCTCTTAAAGTAACCTCGGTTGGATTTCGGATAATGAACTCAACAAGATATCGTAAAACGTTTCTCTGTTGCCTGGCTTGTAATTTGCAATATACATCTTGTGGCAATATTTTTTTCACTAAGAAAACAAGTAATGGTGTGGTGGATATACCTTTCTGTCCAATCGTTATATAAAAAGTAAAAACTCGATGTCATTTAAGAATATAATAAAATATAACATAAACGTAATATTACCTCAAAAAGCTGTATCAAAGTTTTCCCACACATTATAAATTTATTAACAGTATTTTCATTGGAGGGCTATAAAAGAAACTAAGATAAGAATAAAAATGCAAATAATGTAAAAAAATACATTTTATATATAAATAAAGAACTTACATCAAATTGTTCGTCTTCCCTAGCAATTGCATCGACAATTGAATTGGACAATGCCTTTAAATTTTCTTTTTTTTCATACATATTCAATGACAATAACATCTTAATAAAATTCTCATAATCCGTAGCATTCGCGTCGTGAAGCGCCTAATTTATATAATAAATAACATTTATATCTTACAATAATAAATCAATTAGATAAGTAGCACGTACTTTTATCATTTCTTCAGAAAACTTTGATTCCCAATCATTATTTTGCTGTGATAATTCCGCTTTAATCCTATTCAAATCATTGGATAAAAAGCCAATTGTTCTCTGGCGAACTTCAGTTGACCCCTTTAATGACTGATTAAAAATTGCAGGTATTGTTCCTGGATCTAAGCGAAGAACTTGTTCAAGAGCTTTCTTCACTGCCGTAATTTCACGTGTAGTTTCTATTTCAAATTATTTACCATAATGAGAAGAGTCCTAAATATATGCGCATTCATTTCATATACGTTAAATTTAAATTACCATTTTCTAATAATTGTACTAATGCATCAGCAATTCTAACCGAGAACTTGTTGCATTCTTTAACGACATTTGGCATATACTTGATAACCATTAAACGCACCTAAATAGGAATCAACTTGGTAAAAAAATAAATTAAAAATAAAAAAGGCCACATGATCTTTCGTAAATTGAACATACTTTTATATCAGTGTCTTCACAAAGATCGAACAACGCATCCAAAGCATTCTCGTAATACTCGGGAAACTTGCCAAAGAAGCGAGGGATAAATTGAGCAGCAAGTTGTTTACAATTACTTGAGCCGTGAGCACCAACGATCAAAATTTCATATGAATGTTTAACCTGAATTATGTTGAAGGTAATTAATTATATTTCTACGAGTTGAATGAACAGGTACAAACAGAATCGAACGTTACGCACCTCTGCTGTTTTATCGCCGGCATTATTAATTGCGTCATAAGCTTTATAAATCTGTTCAACATCAACTTCGGTTTCAGTCATTGTTAAGTTATTTGAAAGATGATGCCTCGAATAAAAAAATGTTTACCAAATATAAATCAATTGGGCAATCACACAATCACATGGTGGCTTTTTTTTTATCATATAATGATACAATGATAAGCATTATATTATGATCATTTATTGGATGATAATCTAACAGCTCAATTTCATGGCTGACAATGAAGGAAGAACTTGCGTTTATGGCTTGAGACACCAAGTAAATAAATTACATAACGGTTTTAATGATTAATTTGAGTACTTATTTTTACATTTTGAATGATAGGCGAGGTGTCTGACAGCTGTTGTTGCAGATTCAGATCATAATAAATTTTTAGTCGGTTCTCAAAGTTTAAAACGTGAAAACGAGGTTCTTTTTTTTACGTTTAGACTCGATTTCTATAATTTCCTATAAATGTTGCGCTAATAATTTTTGATATTATGACAGTTAGGTTCATCTACTTGATTTTCGTGAAGATGAGTTTGAGATAACCAGTAGCGTGTTTCAACATTCGGAAGAGGTTTGGGACATTGCCTCTTGTCCTATGCAAGACGATCTTTTTTTCACTTGTTATAAGAAATGTATGAAGAAACGACTTTAATTAGTAACGTGGATTTTTACGGATCATGCTAAATTGTTTTCATTGTTCTTTTTGAAGTCAATTCAAATGTAATTCAGTCTAAGGCTAGCTTATGGAGAATGAACAATATAGAAGCAATATCTGAAGATTCAGAAACAAATCCGCAGAGCCAACGTGCGCCAGTAGCACCAAGTTCACCTTTAGAGACCATTTTTGAAGTAGACGGTGATGCGTCAATCAAAAAGTAAAAATATCTTTCAAATGATTTATACTCATTTTTATATTGAACCTAATTCAAAAATTTTGAATATAGAGTTCTGTGGGAACCAAAGAAAGTTCTTACGAATTTCGCTTCCATTCATGATCATGCCTTAAATGTATGGGCATTAGGTGATCAATTTACAACAGCGAAGGTATAATAAAAACAAATATTTCATGAGAAATGAAATCACTCTAATTCTTAATAAAATGTTCATTAAATTAGTTGTTAAATACTTTTGAATTCTCTTCATCTACTGGGCCTTTGACAACTGGAGCATGGAATCCACATCAACCAGAAATTGCAATTGGGAAGGAACGTTCTATATCTGGTTGGGATATTAAATCACAAAGGTGTATTATCCATCGTATCTTAGATAGTTATTTCAATGAATTTTAATTACTGGTATAACCAATTTATATTTAGTCAGACATTTAATATCAATGGGGCACATTCAATACTTGTACGCGCGTTGGATTTCAATCCAAACAAACCAAATCATATTGCCTCGGCTGGTGATGACTGTAAAGTAAGATTCTGGGATATTAGGAATACTACCGAAAGTATCAAAGAAATATCCGATCATACTCATTGGTATGATAAATTTTCTCTCAACCTTTTAAAGCTTTGTTTATTAATAATTTATATATATATATATATATATATTTTTGAATTTCGAATTTTAAAATGATAGGATTTGGGCAATAGCATATAACAGATTTCATGATCAACTTTTTTTAAGTTCTGGTTCTGATTGTCAAGTCAATCTCCAAAGTATCGTTTCCATTTCTTCAGCAATGTTTCAATATAATGAATATGACGATAATAAATCCGAAGATGGGTATCAGGAAACAATAAGGTATTTGTCAAATATATTTCGTTAAAATTTATTACATTTGATTCAATTATTTTATTTTAATGTTTTCGTTTGATTGAGCAGTAGGCCAACCGATGGTTTGGTGAGAACTTATGATCAACATGAAGACAGCGTATATTCAGTTGCATGGAGTGCTCATGACCCTTGGGTCTTTTGTTCTTTATCTTATGATGGAAGAGCTGTCATTAATAGAGTACCTAGAGAAGAAAAATACAGAATAATTCTTTGACAAATTGAATGATTGTAAATGATTAATAAAATCTACATAATATTCTTGGTGATCGCTGGATCATCATAACAACTAGGTTGCGCAATAAAAAAAAAAATTTTTTTACGATCAGATTTTATAACTCTATATAGTAACAAATGTAGTACGACAAAATGACTGCAGTCGTCGATATAAATTGATTGGTGCAACAAATTTTAAGCAATTACAGCATTTAAATAACTAATTCAAAAAAAAACATTATATGCATTGTTGACTTGTAATCTCTTATTTCAACTTGAAAAGAAACTTGTTGTCTTGATTGATTGGTTTTTTGAATTCACTATTTATATGAAATGAGCGGCACACATTTTCTTTTTTTGGTTATCTTGTGCAATCTGCAATCTGGTTAACCCAACCATGTTCGAGAGGATGCTTGCCAATTCCAAACTCAAACTGTTTCGCACCTCAAAAAAAAAAAAATTTAATAATAATAATATTTCAACCTTTTAGTCCTTTGGCAGAAAAAACTTTTTTCATTGTTGTGTGTTCTTTTCGCCAACTCCATACATTCCTTCAATAGATTAAGGATAAGGTTAATCTAAAACTTCCACGCTTCACTTTATTCTCCTATCCGTTTAATACCTAACCACTCATTATATATTATTATTCTTCACAAAAATAATGTCTGGTACGTGTTTTACAAAAAAAATTTAAATTATATATTATTTTTCTTTTGTTTTCATAACCTTATTTGTGTTAAAAAGTGTAAGAAATAGAAAGAATCCAAATAAGCATTGTAAACTTTCTCTCTTTATATGTAATTTTATCATTTTCGCGTCTTTGAAATCTTCAACATCATCTGGAGTTCATCATATTTGACCCATTAGAAATAAAGTCGAGAATTATTTTTCGATACTTTGGTACTTAAGACTTTAGCCGATTGTAAATTTTAGTTGTAATAGTAGTCACTTTAATTTAGACATTTTTACTTGAAATTTTAAAAGGAAGCAAAAATATATAGATAGTAAATAATAAGAAGCTTGCTTGGTAAAAAAAAAAAAGGAAAAAGAATTTAGGCTTATAAATTTTCAATATTGACCTTTTTTTTTATTATTTTATACAAATCTTACAGAAACTTCCGGAAGTGCCCCGAATTCAGGCCTTAAAGTAAGTAGTTCTTATATAAAAAAAAAAAAATTGTCATTTTTAAAAAAATTTATTAAACTCGAATTCATTGTTTATAATTTTATTCAATTATAGGCGACCATCAATAGCGTTATCCGAAAGAAACTACAAGGATATGTCGGTTTTGCTAACCTTCCCAACCAGGTACATCGTAAATCCGTGAAGAAGGGATTTCACTTCACGGTGATGATTGTTGGTAAGATTATATATTATTTTATTTAATTAATTCTTTAACAAATTTTAGAACATTTGTGTTTCTATACTAATCGTGCTTTTTTTATAGGTGAATCCGGTTTAGGTAAATCAACACTCGTCAATACTTTATTCGGTACCACTCTCTATCCAAACAAAGGTGAAGCTGACCCATCAGATGAAACACCAAAGACAGTAGAAATCCAATCTCTCAGCGCAGGTCCGTTTCCAGGTTTTAGTTTTATTAGATTCGTTTTAATTTAACGTGCAGATTTTTCTCACGATGTCCTTTTTTACTTGTATTTAACAGACATTGAAGAAAATGGTGTTAAATTAAGGCTTACAGTTGTTGATACTCCCGGATTTGGTGATTTTGTTAACAACGAAGAAAGGTACAAACGCCAAATCTTTTCATCACACGTGTCATTTTTATACTTGTTTTTATCTCACGTGACTTCGAAATTTCATTAGTTGGAAACCAATTCTCGAAAATATCGAAGCTCGATTTGATGCATATCTTGAGCAAGAGAATCGCGTAAATCGTCGTAAGATGGTTGACAATCGCGTTCATGCTTGCATTTATTTCATTGCCCCTACCGGGCATTCGTAAGTGATGATTTTTTAAAATTATTGTTTTGTAAGGTTCATGGTTCCTTTATATTTATTTATCATTACCTTTTTTTTTTTTTAAAATCCTCAGACTTAAGCCCTTGGATGTTGAATTCATGCGACGGCTACACACCAAAGTCAACCTTATCCCTGTAATCGCTAAATCGGACACGTTAACTGAAGACGAAATCAAACAATTCAAGCAACGTATCCTAGACGATATTGCTTATCATAAAATTCAAATCTATCAAGCTCCACAATACGAATATGATGATCAAGAAACGGTGGCAGAAAACCGTGAAATAATAGTAAGTAGTTGAGTTTAGTAATGATTCATTTTTTTTAAAAAATAATGATGATAATAATAATGATAATAATAATTATGACAAATTTAGAGCAAAATCCCCTTTGCAATTGTCGGTAGTGATAAGGAAGTTGAACTTTCTGATGGTCGTCGCGTTCGTGGACGTAAATACCCATGGGGTGTAATTGAAGTTGACAATGAAGAGCATAACGATTTTGTCAAGCTTCGACAAATGCTCATTCGGTTAGTATCCTATTATTATTATGTTAATTGACATCGTATACTAGATAATAATAATTAATAATTGTTACATATAAACATACAGAACTCATATGGAAGAGCTTAAAGAATACACCAGTGATGTGCTATACGAGAACTATCGTTCCGAAAAACTTGTTACTATGGGGGTACAGCAAGACCAAACTGTCTTCAAGGAAGTAAACCCACTCGCCAAGATGGAAGAAGAACGTCAGCTCCATGAAGCCAAATTACAAAAGATGGAAGCTGAAATGAAAATGGTATTCCAACAAAAAGTCCAGGAGAAGGAGGCTAAATTGAAACAATCCGAAGAAGAATTATATGCTCGCCATAAAGAAATGAAGGATGCTCTGGAAAAACAACGATTAGAATTAGAAGAAAAGAAAAGACGATTAGAATCTGGTAGACCGATCACCCCTGAAAAAGCAAAAAAGAAAGGGTTTTCGTTTAACAAATAGATGAAACTCAAAACAAATTTATATTTATATTTAATTATTAGAGATTTTGGCTCTTCCTTTTTTTTTTTTTTTTTTGATAGAATCATTTACTTTGATTATTTCTAAAGATTCCGATGTGAGTTTGTTTATATAAAATGGTTGTATGATTTTTTTTTGGGGATCAAAAAAAAAAAAAAAAACGAAAATAATTTTTTTTTTTCAAAGTTTTTGTTTTCACTATATATTAACGCTGTAGTTTAGATTTATTTTTTTTTATATATATTCTTTATTAATTATTTTTTATTCGTCGTAATTTTCTGGATTATTTATACCCCTTTTATTATGTAAACGTGGATCTAATAAACCCCACGGTTCTCTAAATTTCTTATATACGTGTCGCGACACTTATTATATTATAATTATTATTTGGTAACACCCCTCTTTATATATTATTCCAATAAATGTTTCTACAGAAAAATTATAATTTAATAATAATAACTGAGCTGTAATAATTGTAGCTAAATACATGATAGTTGTAAAAGTCTACAAAAAAAAAAAAAAAAAAAAAAAAAAAGTTTTTAATAAAAGCAGAATTTAATTTATTTCAAAAATTATTATTAATGTTTTTTATAATATTTTCTTAATTAGTTAATTCGGCGGCTCTTTTTGTAATGATGGACATATAGCCACGTATTGATTCTTGATTAAATTGTAGTATCTTTATTTCTTTACTGATATGTCGCGTCACGTAACTTCATTATTAATTTGGGACGCGTCATAAACTAACTACGTAATAGCTATTTAAGTTACTTGTAAAATCCCTCCAAGCTAATTTTGTAATAGTTGAGGTGTATGACGCGTCGAGCATGGGTATAAGTCGACGTGTCTTCCGTATTTTTTAATTCAAAATTACCTTCTTTTTCGTCGAAAGAGTTAAAAACAAAATCCATTTTAGCAACAGAACTGTGATTTCAAAACGTATAATATAAATACCATAAATAGCAATCTTGACGCGTGTATTATCCGCCGCGTGATAACGTTACGATCCCAATCATTTATTTTAACAGATTTTTTTCATTTTTTTGATAAAAATTTCACAACTTTAAATATTTATACATCGTTTCTATAATAATTTTTCAACATGCTTTTTGAACAATTGGTCGACGACTATCGTCGTATGATAAGTAATAATGTACTTGAACTATATAAAAGGAGACGAGCGCTTAAAAATGTACAAGATGACAATAAAGAAAATATCACACCAATTGTAAAATCAGAAGATAAGAAAGACAGCGCTGTTGAAGATCCAGAAGCCGATTCTTTATCATGGTAAGTTACTATATTACCTTTTTTCATGTGTTATTTATCAAAAGTTAACATTATTTTTACTACAAAGGGGCTGGTTAAGTGCAAGAATGGCGGAAATTTATGTTTATTGTCCACAAGGACAAAACGAGCTTCTTTCCTTGAGCGAATTAGAATCAAAAGTAAGTGTAAGAAATTTCCTTTAAGATTATTTCCAACTTAACCTTAATTAACTTCTTTCTATAGTGGAAAATTATAAGCGCCGATGAAAGGATGGGTATAGCGAAAAGTACGCGTTCTTTAGTTCGACAACTTTTTTTTCACGTCATGAACTAATCAAAAACATTTTATTTTCCCAAGACTTTTGTCTAATGGACTCATTATGCTTTCCAAATAACACTGAAGTACGAAGCTATGAACTATCGGTCGTAAAATCCAGAAGAAGTCAGAGACTAGATACAATATATATCCTTTTGGATTTTAATTGAGTCGAGAATTTTATACTTAAGAATTTAAAACTATATTGAACCTTAATAACGTTTTGCATTTAAATACGTTATGTAACCTTGTGTGATGGTTATGATAAGTCTAAAACGGTTAATATGATACTTGATCAAAGATTTATCAAATTTGAGCTCTTGTTTAAAGTAAGATAAATCTATTTCTCTTAAACAACGAATTTGCTCGATGAATTTTTTTTTTTCGTATCCTTATTTCATTAATACCTGTGTGTTTTAGAAAGAAAACCGTCAAGTTAGATTCAATCGCTCTGGATTGTCGAGGAAAAATTCTCAATTGATTCTTCAAACAGAGAATCTGATTATTGTGCTTACTTCAGCCGATGAAAGTTTTATTGAAAAAGAATTCCATAGTTCAATATTGGAACTCTCATTAACCGATTTTTATAAAGGGAGAGTTTATAACTTTTGGACAAGAGTAAGCATTGACATTAAATTATTCATGTAATGTAAAACGTACAACTTTATTTATTTGAACAATTAAAATAGATCATACATATCGAAAAAGAGGAACCGGCGAGCTATCCTGGATTTTACAAGCAAATATGCATTAATCTTCGCGATATGTCAAGTTCTATGACAGCAACTCTTATTTTATTTGATCTGCAGATAAATATGATCGATTTATTCAAAATGGTAAAGGGTTGAAGTTTTCCTTGACACAGAATCATTTTACTCACATTTATTAACGAATAGGGAGATTTTCTCGGACTTCATATGCCATATATTGAAGAAAAAAGCCCTGGAGAATTTATTTTCATGTATACGGATTGCACTACATTATTCTGTTTACCAATGAACGAATTGATTAAGGTTAGTATTTATAAAACTTTAAACGATATAAATTTTATAATTATACCATCTTTTCTTCTCGCAGGATCCAAACGTCAAAAAGTTCAATATACCAAAAAGCAAATTAAACCTTCAAGATGAATCGGTAAAAATCAAAACTACTAGATATATATATTTTTTTCAAAATAATAATAATCTTTATTCTAATTATGTTTGTCAAAACTTAGTATATGATTGATTACAGATTTCATAGTGAGCGTTTTTACATTAACAATATGCCATCACAAGGTATAAATATCACGCTTTTTGGAAGAATAGATGACATCTCAGAAAATGTAAGTGTTTTTCTTACATTTAAGAACGGTCTTATTTAGAAAGTTTTACTAATAACCTCTTTCTTATTAAAGTGTCCGCAAGAATTTGATGGGAAATTAATCGATATGTACCTGATAAAACTTAGTGATAGGACCGGTAAGGAATAATTTACAATTAGGCAATAATTTTCAACATAATAATATATGGATATCTCTTTACATTAGGATTTACGTACGTGACACTTTGGGAAAAGATTGGACGTACCGCTTCTAATTATAACGTCGGTCAATATATTGTACTAGAGGGATTAAGAACCTTTAAAAGCATGGACGGTTTAATTGAAGTTGTTGGAGATGAATCATATGGCACATCGATTTACAATGGTAATAAAGAATGACTATTTTTTTTTTTTTAAAGCAAGCAAATTTCTTAACGTTTTTATTCACAAAATATAGTTAGCATGGCAACAGGGTGGTTGGCAACAAATACCTTAAGACGACATTTGCATGTCCCATTAAAGAATATCATTCAAATGTCTAACAATGAATTATACGTGGACCATTTTATCACTCACGTTTCAATCGCAGGATGGGACATTAGAGATGAATCAAAGGGAATAATATGGAATTTGCAAGACAATACTGGTGAAATTCGAGCCGAAGCAGTTGGTTCTGTTTCAGAGGTAAAATGAAAATCAAATTCACTAACTTTCGCCATTTGAATTATGTACCGATGAAACTAAACATTCATTATTTAGGAACTTCTTCGATCAATCGGTTATCGTCCAATGCTATCATCAGAATCACTAATTCGTTCTACGCTCAAAAAATCTCCAAGTACAATTTTAGAGGGTAAATGGTTGTGGTGTTGTCTATCATTTTTGGTAAGTTAATTCTATCTATTATATTTATAAAATTTTTTTGATTATTAATTACTTATGTTTATATTATTCCGTTTCGTTTCAAAAAAAAAGCCATTTGAAAAGTATCAGATTAATGCTGTAGTAATTCATAATTGAACCAAACCATTTTGCATCATATTGTTAATTATGTAATAATTAAATAATAATCTTTTTAGTAAAACATTGCCTTTTATAATGATGATTTTTCTTTAATATGATTGGTTTAAAAGTTGCGAACCGTCAAGTGCCACAGATTTGTCCTACCCGCATTTCGCAAAAATTAAAAATAAAATAAAACTAGTATTAAGTTATGGCATGCGTTATGGAGGGGGGTGTGTTCTATTTTTGTTTTTTATTTAGTTAGTACTTTGTATTATCTTTATAAATAAAAATTAAAACTCTGAGTCGTTAAAGTGAAAAAAATAAAAAAAAATAAAATAAAATAAAATAAAACTAATTTAACCAAAATGAAGGCACTAAAAGTAATATAAATTATTCTGCCGAAGAAAGGGAAATTCTCCTATAGGTCGGTTCGATGGTAGATCGCAAACACGCACTCCACTTACAACATCACATGAGAACATTGAAAATCGGAAGCCCCGATGTGAACGAAAATTAAACAGAAAAACACTCTAGCCAGGTGTTGCATAAACATCGAATCTTAAAATGTATTATTAAATAGACTGAAAATTCAATGTAATTTATTGCCTTTCCTGTTTATCTTCAAGGATAGTTTGCAACTTGATATTAAAAAAAAAAGCGTAATAAACCACTTCACCAATTACAATAACCTGCGAAACATGCATTGCACTTTTTTTTTTTTGGCTTCTTAGTAACCACTCATCTACGAAACTCAAAAAGCGTTCCTTGACTTCTTGGTAACCGTCCACTTACGTAACACAGAGAGGTTACCTTGGCTTCTCGGTTAGACACCAACAATATTTCTTTCAGGGTGAGATGATCTATTATTATCACATGAACCTATTTCTAATTAAGTTACGTATCAGCATTGCTTAGTATCTGTAAAATTATTCGTCACACGTTATTTATCACATAGTGTGTCTAGGTTTGAATGGCTTATTCAAAATCAATATCTTTTTGAAGCAAGAAAAAGTCTTATTCAAGCCAAAGTATTAAGCAAATATAAAACTCCTTTACCTTACTTGTGAAAGACTTTTTATTAACGACTATCAAAAGTGATCATAATTATAACATTACCAAATTTTTCATAATTCGAATTTTTGTTACCGAAATTCGAGAACTATTTTTGAGGTAATGGTCAATTTGTTTAGAAGAACAAGTAGGACTTGGAATGGAATGCAATCAAGTTTATCAATTTTTATCAAAAAATTTGCATTTATTTATTAGTGCAGAGCATAATTTTTCTGTTATATTTAAGATTAAAATCAAATTAAATAAACTCATTGAATTAATTTAAAACATTATAGAATTACACAGAATGCATAATCAAATAAAATGTAACAATTGATGGTTTGCTTCAATTGTGCCTTCTTATAATTAGAAAAATTGCTATTAGTTATTATTAATAAAAAATTAAAATATTAAAGATTTTAGATAAAAAAAAAAAACATTAGGCTTGCTTTTAAGAAAGTAAATTATTTTCAAGAAATGGATATCACGTGATTAATAGCTACAAAAAAACCAAGAATAGGATAAGAAAAATGTAAGCATTTGAGAAATTGAGAAGGAAGATCAAAGGTAGTATCAAAGAAAATTAAGATGAGAAGAAAAGCTGAAAAGAAGAAGAACAAAATATAATTCATCATATTTCATCTTTAGAAATTCACAATATTTCTCATTCTCATAGATAACTTTATAAAAAACTTGAAACTATCATCAAAAGATTGATTTTCTTTATAACAAAATGAATAATGATAAAATGGGATTTGTTAGTAAAAGAAAAAATCTGATAATTCATTATGTTATAATAATTTACTAAAGTTCATATTTATTTTTAACAATTTTGCTTATCTTTCTTAGTTTAGTTAGTTTTTCCCTTTTCTCAAATAATAATAATATATTAGTCTTTGATGGCTTTTTACTATTGTACGAGAAATATTCCATTTTATGTTATCCTATTATGTTAGCATTACTATGCTATGGTTATGGCTATTACTATGTTATAAAATCATCCACATTTTTTTTTATATGAAGGTTCTTTATATAACAAAAATATTTTTTTTATGGTAAATATTCACTATTATAATTAGTAAATCAAAGTACGCTATTTAATTTATTAGCAAAGCTTTAGCTTAAAAATTTTAAACTTTTTGTGATAATGAATGTAAAATATTTAGTTTAATTTATTTACAAGACAATAGTTCTGATCTCATTTAAACTATAGAGAGTTAATGAAATCCATTGATCTATAGATAAAATAAGTTTAAATAGTCAAAAATTTTATGATAAATATGTAATAGAAATTACTTAATCTTCTAAATAAAAAACGCCTATATAAATCTTTCAAGAAAAATAAATTTTATCAAAAAAATATGTCATCTTAATAACTTCCATTATTTTTATTAAAGTGTAAGTAGTGAAAAAGTTTCTACTAGTATTGCTTATAGTAGAATAAATAATAAAGAATTTATTAAAATCAATTTTAAAGTTTTCAAAAATAATAACAAAATAATAATATAAGAAATAAGAGAGAATTTGATCATATTAATAATCAAAAAATTCTTAAGTTTTAAATCTGAATTATTTTGTAAGATTCTTTTTATTTATTATTTATTTAATAATTAATTAATAAAATTTAAAACAATTAAATAATAAAAAAAATTATTACTTTTTTACACTATTTAGGTAACTGTTATTTAAGCTATAAATTTAGATTTAAAAATATTAGACAAAGAGATTAATAAGAATGATTTACCAATAGTACTATTATTTGAATTTTTCACCCCATCATGTAAAACAATACCAATTCTAAAAGATGAAAATTAAAAATATTTAATATTTGAAAGAAACATCTACAATTCCTTTATTAGAATTATAAATAAACTTATAATTCTATACATATATATAATATCAAATAGTAGGCATTCATTAGTGGAAAAATCAATAAAATCTTCAGTAACATTTTCAGTTATAGATAAATTATTTTATAGAAACTAGTCTTTTGCAAATAATTTATTCTAAAATAGAGCTAATACTATAATACAAAAAGAATAAAAAAGTAGTAGAATATCAAAAAGAAAGAATTTGCTTAAATTTGAATAATAAATAATAAATAATAAAAAACTAAAGATAAGTAAACAAAATTCAACACTTTCATTAACTTTATCAATCTTAATATTATCTATATCTAGGATATGGAAGGTCTACTAAAGGTCAGTTAAAGTTCTAGGATCTATCAGTTCTAGTATGTGGATGGACTGATTTAATCTTTATAAAAATCCTATAACTTATATAAGACTGTAATTAAGACTGAGTCTAGACTGTTAAATAATATTTATTTTAATATTATACTTTAAAAATATTATATTTTAAGATTACAAGCTATTAGAATCTCCTAATTCTTCCAATTCTAAGCTTTTCAATGCCAATGATTTTTTATTAGAAGATTAAAAAATTTTTGAAAATTTTTATAAAAACTTATAATTTTTCATTTTTTAAATTAACATTATTTCATAATTTCTATTTTATTAATAATTGTAATAATGTTAGATTATGTATTTTTTTTTCTCTTTTAAACAATACTTTTCTTTTAAAATTCTGATCTGTAGTTAAAAAATTTTGTTAGAAGTAAAAACCTTCTTAAATTTCATGTATTTCACGTAAAAAAACTTTAATTTTACCATTAACATCTCTGACCTCTATCCCTGCGGACACTGCCTTTATAAATAATTTTTTAATTCTGTTAAAAATGTGATCACGTTTCCTTTTTATTAAATAAACAACATAAATAACTTAAACAATTATTTTAACAAACATCACATAAACACGTATATGTTATTTTTTTTAAAAATATCTTTTTGGTTAAATATTCAATATTATCAGATTATTAAAATTTATTATACATCCTCTTAAACCAATATATTCCTTATAGTATAGTACCCTTTAAAATTCATAAATATATATTATATTCAAATATTTTAATCAATAGTTTATAATATTTAAATTTATTATATTTTATTTAATTATTATTAATAATTTTATTATAATTAACATATTATAAATTTAAATTGCTATTTATTTCTATATTGTTAAATTTATTATTATATATCATTCAAATATTCAAAATCATAATTCAAATAAGTCATTTTTGCTGAATAATTTTATAATATAAAATATAAATTTGATAATAAAAAGATGCGATATGTAACGTTTAATTAGAATCTAATCAATCTACATATTTTATATGCAAATATCTGTAAAATTAAACTTTAATTTATATTATTTATTAAAATTTATATAAAGACCAAATTGGAACTGTTCAAATTAAGTCCTAAAAATTAAGATCAGGTTTTATCAAAACTGAGATCAAAGACTAAGTCCTAAAGTTCTGAACCTGAACTTTTCCATTTCCTACCTATATCAAATTTAACGTCATTAGTGCAAACACTAATATTATTAAAAGACTTAAAAAAAGATCTAAAATACTAATAGATATATTGAATAAGATTAATAATAAGAACAAAAAATTCATGTATAATCGCAAAAATGATAAAGACTAATAAATGACCATCATTCAAATAATGAAAATATAAATCTTTATTGATTTTTCTTTAAAAAAAAATAAAATAAAATAAAAATTAGCCATTCATATTATATAAATAACCATCTTTGATTAGAGCTCTAAACAGGTTGGTTCAAGTCGGATCAATCAAGTTACCTGAATTGAGAGGATCAGGTCAGGTCAAACAAAAATCTGACCTGATTTAAATTTTTATTTGACCTGACCTGACCTGACCTGATCTAATCTAACCTAATTTGATCAAATTATTTAAATTATTTAATAAACAATATATTATATTTGATTC